AACATATGAATTTGGGGAGTGCACAAACATTCAGTCTATAACAATAAGTGAAGCAAAGCTTTTTAAAAAGCTTTCCAAAGTGCTTTATCAAATGGAATTAGTGGTTTCATAAATAAATTACCCATAATGTAATTACTAAATCTGATTGCTTACTTTTAAAATTTAAAAAAAACTGTTTAATGGATAAAGTAGTCATCCATTAAAAGTACAAGATGAATTTAACCTGAAAAAGAGTTGGCTGTTGTGATATAAATGATTAAATAATGTATATATTTATAAATATGAGCTTCATGCATTTCTGTAAACCTTGTAAATCACACAAACTACTGCTAAGTAAACTGAGCAAGGGAAGTAATAACATTGCGCCCATCATTATGCCTTTTAAATAAATAGACAGGAATTTGGCTCTAAAGCACAGGAAGCCCATGCCTTCAATAGGTGGGTGGCAAATTTCATACACAGCACCCTAACACCAGTTCAGTGTTTCTCAAATTTAAGAGAAAAGGACTTTCAAAAACTGATGTAGAGTCCTATGCTGATTCAAATTGTTAATTATATAAAAGATCTTTATTACAGCATTTCTTATTTATCATCATAAAACTAATTAATGACTTATATATTTTGTACAAGTATGAAACCTAAACAAGTAAATTTAAAATGTGTAAGGGAAAAAAAAGTCAACCAAATTTTAGCAAGCATATTCTATGCCACCTTTCCTTGATTTCTTTCCTACCTTTTTTTCAGCTTTCTGGAACAATGTCAAAAGTCATTCATTTGGGGGGAACTCATTCTCTACAAACAAAGCACAAAGGCAAGTGTACATGCTTAGTTCCTATACCCAAAGTAAAAAAAGATTCCCAAATAAAGAGAAAGAAGAATGTCAAAAATACCAGTCAAAAAGGAAATTTATTAGGGCTCTGGGCTAAACAGTTAAAATTATCTGACTATATTTCTGTTAAAAAATGTGCATTTTTGCACTTTTTCTTGTCAATAGATAAGAGACCACTGTTAATCAAATACATGAGAAACAGGCAGCATGACCACCCATTAGCCATGACAATAGGAACAATGCACTGATTTTGAAGAAAAGGCCAGTCATAGCCAGGACTCTTTTATATTCATAACTCAACTCTAGGAATACTGTATATAGACAGTCAAATTGCTCACCTAGTCTCAAAAACATTGAGATTACAGCCCCCAGTGTGAAGTTAGTAAGAAATGCAGATGAAAATGACTGTTAGTCATCAGTGGAGCCTTCATACTTCATTGAGAGCCTAAATGAAACACGATCTGTGAATCACAGTATATTGTAAAACACCCAGTGATGGTACTCTACATAATGACTGAATGATCAACAATGCAGATGCCTCCTGTAGCAGGAGAGGGCATCCATGGTGTATGCCACTCAACATATTAGACTCCAGTGCATGTTCTTCTTTGAGAACAAAATCAGGTTTAGAAACACTTGAAACATGCTATGAAAAAAGGAAAGTAAATGCTGTGCTAAGCTAATACACAGAACTGTTATTTTCCAGCCTTTACATGAAAGCACAGGATACCCGGAATTTGATTGTATTTCTCACACTGTCTAGTGCTAATTACAAGTAAGTAATCAATAAGTAAAGTACTTACAATCAATAAGTAAAGAATAGGGCAGGCCTGTTACATAAGGGTTCTGGAACAGGAGGGAGAAACCACAGAGGGAAACTGTTTTAGAGTCAAAACTGAATCAAGTTTAAACATTCATGTCTGCCCACTTTCTAAGGGCTCCTAAAAAAGATCTCTCCCTGATCATTCTAAAATTTATTATTACTGTATATGAATTATCAGCATTAGCAAAAGACAAGTTTATCTTTTCTGTCTTGTGTATGCACACCAAATGGCAGCATGCTGGACCTGGCCAACACTGGCTTATGGAAGCTGATTGTGCACATCTCTCCCCATCTTTGCGTTCAGTAAATCACACTGATGTTCGAAACTGATGACAGAGGGAGTATTTCTACCAAAAAAGTCAGCAAACACTACAAATCAGGGATTTCTCCTCAAATTCCCAAGCCCCACTATGAGCAGATTGTTAAATGTTTATCAATACTCCACTGCACCTCCGTAGTGTGTGTATTCATTGTGCTACTGGCCACACAGTTGCCCAAAAACAGGGGACAAAACATAGATCAGACACACTTCTATCCTCATACATCTTAATGGTCTTATGTAGTTGCTCTGCTTCGTTCCTACCTTATCCCATATCTCTACTTGCGAATGTTCTACCCATTCTTTAAGCCATCTCTATTTTACATGATATTACTGTCTCCCTTAGCTATATATTTCAAAGCAGACAAGTTTTATATATATTTTTGGCAACGTTTGCTTAGCATGGTACACACCATGCATGGCAAGAGTAGAGAGGTAGGGAAACACTCAAAATTTTGGGCTTGATTATGAGGAATGCTTATAATATTTGAAGAGAATGGTGGTACTTCACGCATTTTCCCACTGGCTCTCCTCTAATATCTGCAGAGCTACAGAAAGGAGTATAAATAGAGGATCCCAACTGTGGCCCTCCCTTTTCTCATTCTACCCTCCTAATCTGCAACTGTGAAGGGCCTCATGCATCAGTGGAGTAGAATTCCCACTTTGCTTGGTTTTAAGGGGTTTTGCAGGACCCAGAACTTCAGTGTTAACACTGGTACAGACCTGGACAAACCAGGATTCATCAAGCTTTGGATTAAAGAAAGAAATTTATGCAGACAGGCCCGGACAGCAACACAGCATCTGCTGGTCAGAGAATTCTAGGGTTTTGGCAACATTAGTCAGGTGGGAGATCAGACAAATGTGATTGTGTCATTGCACATAAACTCTGGGAGTCTTCCTTTTGCCTCAAAAACACCTCTCTCCTGGGCACTATCATAGATTCGGGGCATGTAGTAGTATAAAAAAGATATTAACTTGTATACAAAGTCAAATACTTTAAAGTATGTTCAAGTTGTTATGTATTTTCTGCAGTACTGCAAAGGCTTCCTTTCTGATCTCCTTGCATACCTTTTTTAGGCTTGTTTCAGTCTATTCACCATACCATAACCAGAGTGATAAAACCTATGTAAAGCTCATTAACGGCCTTGCATTAAAGATCAGGATTCCTATCTTGGTAAAATGGGCCCTGTATGACATGCATGACCCCTTTCTCTCTCTCACACACACACTCTGAGCTCATGTTATATGACTCAATCTCTCACTCACAGTCACATTGGCCTTACTTTAAGTTCTTTAAAATGTTCCATATTTCTGCTTGCTTCAGGCCTTGCATATGTCAGATCCCAAGTGCTCATGGTCACTACATGAAATTGCTTTCCTGATAAACTTTTCCCTTTCCATTTCTCAATCTAGATCAAGGTCTTATTCCCCAGACTTATCCCATGGTCTCAGGGTTTACCTTGCTTCTCCTTTTTTGGCACATTTTGCACTTTGTAATATAATGATATATGAAAAACATCTAAATCTTCTCCTAGGCTTGTAAGCTTGGTGAGAGCAATACAGTATTAGCTACTTTATCTCAATATTCAGGCATACAGTAAACAGAAACTAGTTAAGAAAAGGGGGAAAGAAGAAACGAAGAAAAGGGCGGTGTACAAGTTTTCTTAAAGGTGAGAAAGTTTTCTACTTTGGGAGTTTTAATTGTTTTATCCTATGTATTTTGTAAAACTCCACTCACTTTAAGGGCAGGAGTTACTTTGTAACAACTTGTTTTTCTCCCTTAAAGAAAAAGCATTGATAGAATACCTTCACGTTGGAGTGACTTTGTTCCATGATGTCATGAATTTGTGAAACAACATTAAAAAAAAAAAGCTAGAAAAACTCAAGTAGGGTTTGTAAACTATTAATTTCTTTTCCTCTATCTTCTTCCTCCTTTTCTACACTCTGATTCCTGTCATAATATTTTTACAAACTCTGAGAAGAAAAAACAGATTAATTTCAGTCTCAGGAAGGGACAAAAGATTACTAAAGCACAAACTATTACACTTTTACATGGTTTCAGCAGCTTTAACATTTGAAAATGAAAATAGTTTTAAAAATATATCGTTGGTGTTTCAATTTTGAATATATAATTTTGATAATAAAATCATTTTTTAGGCCAAATAAAGAAAAAAGTTTCATGTTTATAAAACAATTGCCAAGCTATAGATAGAAGTTATCTTCTCTTTATCCCTCTCTCCACTCTCTCATCTCTTCCTGAGTCTCATCACAGCACTCATGCCAAGAAACCACTTTATCCAGGGAAGGTGGCCACATACTACAAGAAACAGCAATTGATCTACAAATGCTGACAGTGGGATACAAGACGTGGAAAACGAATTGGCCAAACTACAAATAGTGTGTTGAATAACTGAAAGGATTTTTCTTCTCAAATTCTAGGAATTTTTTTTTCTTTAGACAAGGTCTCTCTCTGTAGCTGGAGTGCAATGGGCATGATCTCAGCTCACTGCGGCCTCAGACTCCCAGCTTAGCCTCCCAAATAGCTGGGACTACAACCTTGCGCCACCATGTCCAGCTTTTCGATGTTTTCTTTTTGAGATGGGGTTTCTCTATATTGCGCAAGCTCGTCTTGCACTGAGTTCAAGCGATCCTGCTGCCTGGAAATTACCTCTTTTATACTTAAGGCAAAGCTGAAAGCAGGGGCTCCTAGCCCAAGACGGCCGGCAGGAAGGAAGCGGCTCTTGCAGCTTTGGAGCGAGGCCTAAGTCCTCGGCCAGCCGCCCAGGGGCGTCCACCTGCAGCTGCCTCTCGGCTTACCTCAGGGGCGTCAGGCTGCGCAGGTGTGGAGGCTCCAGGCCTCGCGAAAAAGAGCGGTCACGTCTTCCTCAGGACTCCATGGTTCCCGCGCGACTAGGAGCAACGTACGTAAGACGCGCGCAGGCGCAGTTCGGGGAGCACGCTTTCCCGCAGGAGCAGTTCGGGGAGCACGCTTTCGCGCAGGCGCAGTTCGGGGAGCACGCTTTCGCGCAGGCGCAGTTCGGGGAGCACGCTTTCACTCCAACGCACCTCCGAGGTTCCTTCGCTGCCATGGGCCGCCGTCCAGCTCGTTGTTATCGGTATTGTAAGAACAAGCCATACCCCAAATCTCGTTTCTGCCGAGGGGTTCCTGATGCCAAGATCCGCATCTTTGACCTGGGTCGAAAGAAGGCAAAAGTGGATGAGTTCCCACTCTGTGGCCACATGGTGTCTGACGAGTATGAGCAGCTGTCTTCGGAAGCCCTGGAGGCCGCCCGTATTTGCGCCAACAAGTACATGGTGAAAAGCTGTGGCAGAGATGGCTTCCACATCCGAGTGCGGCTCCATCCCTTCCATGTCATCCGTATCAACAAGATGTTGTCCTGTGCCGGGGCTGACAGGCTCCAGACAGGTATGCGAGGTGCCTTCGGAAAGCCCCAGGGTACGGTGGCCCGCGTCCACATCGGTCAAGTCATCATGTCCATCCGCACCAAGCTTCAGAACAAGGAGCACGTGATTGAGGCCTTGCGCAGGGCCAAGTTCAAGTTCCCTGGACGCCAGAAGATCCATATCTCCAAGAAGTGGGGCTTCACCAAGTTTAATGCTGACGAATTTGAAGACAAGGTGGCCAAGAAGCACATCATCCCTGATGGTTGTGGAGTCAAGTATGTTCCCAATCGCGGCCCGTTGGACAAGTGGCGGGTTCTACACTCCTGAAGGCTTTGATAGCACTGTCTCCTTGGGCCATGCCAGTCTGACTTTACTTACTAATAAATTCTGTTTACTGGGAAAAAACAACTACTTATTAAGTTTAATATTTTTAAATATCCAATGTTTTAGAATATAGACTACTTGAGAATTTTTTTTTCTATTCATACAGTTTTAATGCCAAGTGTTAACTTCGTTGCTTAAGTAAAACTAAACAATTTATAGAGAAAGCGGTTGCTATTTTAATCAAACACTTTAAATTAAGGAGAGTATAGGACAGTATATTATTGTAGTAAAGTCATAAGTTATGTAGCTATCATTCATTACCTTGAATAGAAAAATAGATTTGTTTGAAAAAAATTTATTGTTTATAGAATGTAAACTAAACAATAGGGATGAAAATAATTGTAGGCATTAATGATATTTCAACTACAGCCTCTTTGGAGCTACTTTATTTTTAACTTGGTTGCATATGTTTTTCTATAAATTTCTGTACATTGTTTTGAGAATTACCTTACACCTCTGATTATCAGCCTTAGGACAATTGAGTATCACTGAAAAAGGCTTTTACAGACGAACTTTACATTGTCTCACAGTCAAGAGATAACAGTCCAATCTTTTTTTCATCATAGAAAGGTCATAGGTGACACAAGAGTTCATATTACTTATATCTGGAATCCAGCAGAACCAAAAGAAAAGAGAAAAGAACACTAAATTGGCTATCTGTACTCTAAAAGGACACTAGAGACAGTTTGCAATTGTAGGTGCTTGCCCTGCATTTAGAGTTACATTGATCACACAGGTCCTTTTTGTTTTATTTTAGAAACTACATAGGCTAAAATTCCTGAGTTTGCACTGCATTAGAAGAAGAAAGTCCTGTTCTTAACATTGACTTAGCCTTTTGAATCTCAATCCTGCAAACAGTGCCTTCAGTGTTTTTATTCTAATGGTTCATTTTCAAAGTCAACACATTTAACGAAAACAACAAAAGGAGTACTAAATAGTATAGAAACACATACTAGTTTAATTTTCATTTATTTTAAAAATTGCTATGTCAGTCTTAACATGTTTTATCTAGCTGGATATTTCTTTCAGGCCCTTGCTGTATTTCCTATTTGTATATATTTAAGCTAGGTTGCTATTTTAAGACGTTTTTCATGTTTGGATTTTACCATACTTTCAAAAACAAAAATTCAACCTCAAAAACAAAAACAAACAAACAAAAACAAAAACAAAAAAGGAGAGAGAGAGAGAGAGAGAGAGAGAGAGAGAAAAGCAGTATAAAATACCATAAAATAAGCCACTCCTTAGCTCTGTTACCTCTCTAACTTGTATAAATGCTTAAATGTAACTACACTTTAAATTATCATCACTGAAACCCATGTTCATGTGACTGGAGTCAAATTTTGTCTCTCAGCTACCTACCTACCTACCTATCTGCCTACTTACTACCTACCTATACATCTCCCAGATTTACCAAAAATAATACCTGTCAGCCTATCTTCCATCTACTCAATAGGGATTTGATTTATGCATACAATGGACTGCTTCAATTTATGCCAATAATCTGCAATTGTAAGCTATCCATTTTTGAAACAAAACTAAAAATGACATTTATAAAAATGTCATTTTCATAGTTGAATACATTTTTCTAATGATAATTTTAATTTGTCAAAATATAACAGTCTACAAGGTCAAAATCTCCATACCTAAAAGCACAGTTGAGACTTTAAAAATTATTTTTTTCTTCTAATTAAGGTTTTTATTTGGAAATATAGGCAATTCTTTTCAACAGCCATGCCATTACAAATTACATATATCTTTGCCATGTGGCATGGTTCACTAATTTCTCTATAATAATTGAGATTTAGTGCCCAAATGTAAACTGTGATTTTAGAAATGTGTGAGATGAAGAATGTAGAGTCCCAATCTCTGGCTGCTTTATTGGGGACAGCTGATACATGCCTGAGGATTGTGTATATATCAGAAACATTATTCAACAAAGTCTTCCTTTAGAACAGGGAAATCTTTAGGTGAAAAAGAGTTTCTATTTTAATACCTAAGCACTCACTGATCTCCGTCAGTTTTGTAAGTTCTATTTTCAATGTACTGACATTTTGATTTGGTAATAGCTTAGGGGATATTTTTGAGTTCAGACATTTTTATGGTCTTCTTGCTGGACTCAGGTTAATATAGCATTTTATTTTTTCTGTTCTAAGATTGAAAGTTTACTTCCTTTAGACTTACAGTTCTGATTCAGACACACTAGAGTTCAGATTTCTCTTCTAGATCCTTATTGTTAAATAGGCTCAAAAGCTATTATTATTAATCCCCAATTTTACATTGGAAGGTTTTAAAAATTCCTCATTCTGTTTTTTTACATTAAGAGACTTTAAAAATTATATGCATAAGTACAGTTCATGACATATTTGTGGCAAACACCATTAGGATTTATGGACAGAACTAGTGAATTTGAAGTCCATGGGCCCTTGAACTTGAGAAAATAATTTAAGACATAATGGATTTGAAAAAGCTATGTCCTAAGATCCAGTAATAACACTATAGATATCTATTGTAGAGAAGCTCTCAATTATATGAACCAGGAGATATACGCAAAGAGCCTTCATAGCATTGTTCATAACAGCAAACACTTTTTATCCTTAATTTACATAAAGAGGACAATGAATATATATCTATTGTGGTATATTCATATGGGAGCTACTATACGCAGTGAGAATCAATGAACGACACCTACAGCTGAAACTGATAACTTTCAGAAACTATTGAATGAAAAAAGAAAATAGGACTCTAAATAGTATTATGCCATTATTTATTTAATGCTTTTATTTATTCTGCTTATTTAAAATTCAAAAAGCAGAAAAACCAGAGGAAATATTGTGTTATATGTAAATAAATATATAATCTAGCTTTTAAAAGTTATGCTAACTGTGAAAATTTAGGATAGTGGTGGCATGGGTTGGGCATAACATGGCAGGGGAGGAACAGGGATAGTCTATGGAGGATACTTTATAATATTTTATCTTTTAAAGCAAGTCCTCCCGGGTCATTATTCATCAGTATTTCTCGGCTATTCTTGGAACTTTTCCCTTCCAACAATTCTAAGTTTGAAAATCCAGCTTGTAAAATCACTACCGTCAGTTGCCTTCAAAGATGTATTAAATTTATAAACTTAAACAGATATTACTTTATATTTTATAATTAATAATTTTAGTATGGAGGTCTTGGGAAATGTAAATTTATCATTTATTATTTATGCTTTCATTCCTATTTCATAGTAGTGTGTTTTATTTTGTTTTTGTTTATTTTTGTGGGTCTATACCTTGCTTAACTTATTCTCTTGTATACCAAGATCAAGGTTGGGTACTTTTTACTTGTGTTTCTTTCCTCTTTCTTTAATTCTTACACTTTTCCACCAGAGAAAATTTGTAGTAGATTCTGCCTGTTCCCTAGGATGCTACCATCCTGAAACCAATTTCTCCTGTCGTGAAAGATAAAAATGTGTGGTACTCAGGTTGAGCTTTCTGACTTTGCTGTGCCCTCAGGTTTTGTAATTGTTTGTCCCTGATAAATCCACCACCTTACATGTACTAACAACTTTCTGCTCCAGTTCCCACTTGTTTGTTTACTTCTGTTTTAAGTCCTTTAAGTCCTTGAAGATTTATTTATTTTCTAGTGAACCTAGAAATGTATTAAAAGGTAAGACTGTAGGCAGAATCTGGTTATATCTAGATGAGAGGATCACTAACGGTACATAGTCTACCATACTGCTAAGTGGAAGTCTTGTGATATATTTTAATTTCTTCTCTGTTTCTTTAAAAATGCCACAATATCTATACCCTGGAATCATATTGATGTATACAGATTTATACATAGTCTTTCTAATTGTATTGTCTACTTCCAAAATTAAGATCCAAAAATACTTTGTACAAAATGGTAGCTTTTTATTGCCTTATCTTACAAAAGCTAGAAATACATTTTCCAGATTTCTCCTCTCTATAGGAATCTTAATCACCCTATGGAGAAATTGACATGAGATTTGGAAGGCAGAAATGAAGCAACAATTATAAAATTGGTGCAGGGCCCCAGGCATCATTGTGATTCAGAAATGCTGTGGTTGATTTGTTGGCTCACTGAATTGAAGGAAGCCAGCAACATTAGTTTCTCCAGCCCTTGCTAGATCTTGCCCTTAACTTTCTCGTAGACCTGGGCCAGGCATAAGTGCATCTTTGTGCCAAGTGGCACAGACCTCTGTTCACAGACATTGTTGGAGTTAGATGTACTGACAGACCTGGATTTTAGATTGTTTTCATGGATTTCAATTTATCCTTGTGAGTTCCATTTGTCCTGTGAGATACTTACATTTACTTTGCATTTTTTTTTCCTCCCAGTTGCCTGCCTCATTGACTTGCAGCAATTTTGTGCTCATCATCAGAAAAGACGCAATCACATTCAAGAAATTTCATTGTCCCTACTTGGTGACTGTATTAGTCCATCCTCACACTGCTATAACTGAAATACCTGAGATTGGGTAATTTATAAAGAAAAGAGCTTTAATTCACTCACAGTTTTGCAGCCTGTTCAGGAAGCATAGCAACATCGGCTTCTGAGGAGGACTCAGGAAACTTACAATCATGGCTGAAGGCAAAGTGGGAGGAGACATTTTAGATGGCAGGAACAGGACCAAGAGGGAGAGGGGCCAGGTGCTACGTATTTTTAAACAACCAGATCTCATGAGTACTTACTATAACAACACACTAGGAAGTGGAAAGCCTTCCCCATGATCTAATTACCTCCTCCCAGGCCCCACCTCCAACATTTTACAATTCAGCATGAGATTTGGGCAAGGACACAGATACAAATCACTGGTGACTTTTATCTGATCATGCTGTCTCCTTTAAGACTGCTATTTTCCCAGTCGTTCTCATTATTATGCAAAGTCTAATGTCCATAATAAATCTCCTATTCTATATTACTCTTAATACTTCTTCCTCAAGCAAACTGTAACTGCTGTGGCCATTATTGATCATTATAATCAGGAAAAGAATCAAAACTTGGTTTGATGT